TGGGGCTGGGCGGCCCGAGGCCCAGAGTGACCACGGGAGGCCACCGGTGACATGGCCCAGGGGGCAGGAGGGACAGTCAGGGCAGGTGGGAAGGGCCCCGGGGCACCGGTTTCAAGGCTGCACCCTGGCGAGCACTCAGGGCAGACGGGGACACCGGGAGGCCCATGTCCTGCCGCCCCTGCCACGGCCACAGCCACGGAGGGAGTGACTCCCTCGGAGCCACAAAAGGCCGGTTTCTTACGGGGCCACGAAAGCACCGGAGGGTGTGAGCCCGCAGCTCTTCCCGGTCCAAGGCCCATGCCGCCTGCCTGTCCTGGAGCCACGACGGGGCCTCGGGCTCCCCCAGAGCACAGCCGGGCCAGGGCACACCTGGGGGTGCGGGCTCAGTCTGGAGCGGGGGCGGGGGGGGCCTCCAGAGCCTTCGGGGAGCAGCTCAGCTGTGCCCAGGACCCCCCACAACCAACCCTGCCAGGGCCACCACCCCGACCAGCCCACGCCCCACACACAGAGGCTCTCCGTTCACCCAGCCTGGGAGCTGGGACCCGGTCCCGCCGCCTCTGAGCGTCCTCGCCTCAGACCCATCCTCGCTGGGGCCCGGGGGCTGCACACCCCGCCCCGCAGGCCCTGCGCCTCCCCTGGCGCTTTCACAGGGAATCTGCCTGCTGACCGGTGCCCCCAGGAGGGCCGGTCGGGAACAGCCTCTTCCTGGCGGGGCTCAGGGAGGGCAGAGCAGGCAGACCAGCCAATCTGTGAGCCAACGGGTCAGACCGGGCAGGGGCTCCGGGCAGAGGACCGGCCTGCACTGCGCTGACAAACAGGCACGGCGCCCGGCGCCCAGCGGCATCCCGGAGAGGACGGGCCAGGCTGGGAACACCCCGAGGTCCTAGGCAACGGAGCCCGCGGGGCTGGCCCCGGCGGCAGGCGGCTCCCGGCCCCGCAGCGGCTCCTCCTCCCGGGCCACCAGCTGGCCCCCGGGGCCACACCGGAGGTCCGCGCTGAGCCCCGTGGCAAGTCCATCTGCAGAAACGTGAAGGGCCGAGCCGTTCCTCGGAGCAGAACCCCCCAAGGAGGGAGGCAAAGTCGGAACCTCAGAGCTCCCACCACCCGGACCACGGTCACTCCCAGCGTGGGCAGCACTGAGGAGACTGCAGAGCAGGCCGAGAGGCTGACGGGGCCCCTGGAGGCCTGGTGGTGGGTGACCAGCACCCCATGCATGTGGGCACCGAGTCTGGTCTGCACCAGCCACCCCAGCACCTACCTGGCCTCCAACCATCTCAACCCTGCTACCACCCAGCCGCTGGCAACTCGGGCCCGCCCCACGTCTCCATCCCCACCAGGACCTGCGCCCCACGCCTGACCCAGCTGAGCTCCCAGCGCAGCTGTGGAGCTGAGAACGGTTTGGCTCAATGGATAGAGCGTTGGCTTGGGGACCGAAGGGACCCGGGTTGATTCCGGTCAAGGGCATGTACCTTGGTTGCGGCATATCCCCAGTAGGGGGTGTGCAAGAGGCAGCTGATCGATGACTCTCTCTCATAGATGTTTCTAGCTCTCTATCTCTCTCTCCCTTCCTCTGTACAAAATCAATAAAATATATTTAAAAAAAAAAAAAAAAAGGCGCAGCTGTGGAGCCTGGGCTGGTCCCCGCGGTGGGGACACAATAAATGCAAAGGCCCACCCAGTGGCCCAGCTTCTCTAGGAGAAAAGGTGAGGTCCGTCCAGCATCTACTGAGCGGCAACCATGGGGCAGGTGCTGGAGGGCAGGGGACACTGCCCACTCGGAGGTGGGCAAACTCAGCAGGAGGTGCAGAGCCGCTGTGGCCTCCACGCCGGGGAAGCTGACCCCGGGAGGCCCTCTGTCCTCATAGGTGGGCAGAGCAGCAGCGTGGCAGGCCGAGGGCTGGCTGCCTACCAGCGAGGTGACCTCCCCGCTCAGTGTCCGGTGACAGCGGGATGCTGGGAGGGAGCACGGGGCCTGTGCAGTGAGAGGGGCAGGGCCTGGGAGCGGCGGGGGCGAGAGCGGGCCTGGGGCTCCCCTGCAGCCCCCGGGAGACTCGGAGGCTCTGGCCAGAGGCCGGCAGAGGTTCCAAGCTCCCACGTCCAGGTCATCGAAACTCCCGCCAAACGGCCACCGGCTGAAATCAGGGCCAGCCGGTTTGGGCTCCGGGCGGCCGTCAAGGCTTCCGTGGCCAAAGCCGGGGCTCCCGCCCGTCCACATCCTGGCCCAGACCTGTCGCGGGCCCGGGCAGCCACCCCAGGCGGCCGGAGAGGCCACACCGCGCTGCTGACCCTCCCCAGGCCGGACTACAAGGCCCGGCATGTCCCGCTCCCGCTGCGCGGAGCCTGCCGGGAGCTGTAGTCCGGCCCCCGCGACGAGCGTGCGCACTGGCGGCCCTAGGACTACAAGGCCCGGCAGGCCGTGCGCGCCGGCAGCCCGCTGACTACGAGGCCCGGCAGGCCGTGCGCGCCCACGGCCCGCGCCCCGCCCTTCGTCCTTGCCACCGCCCCCGGCCCGCCGGCCCCGCCGCCGCGCCCACGCCCGCTGCGCGCCGCCCCGTCCCCGCGCCCGCCCGCGGCTACCGATGTCTATGGCGAAGCGCTTGGCGTTCTCCAGGTTGCGGAAGATCTCGTCGGGGGGCAGCGTGATGCTCTTGTCCAGGCCGTCCCCGCTGCTCCCGCCGCCGCTCGCTCCGCACTCCGCCATTTTGAATGTGCCCGGCCAGCCTCATCAGCCATGGAGATATATGCGCATATATTTGACTGCTAAACGCCGCCCGCGCATAGATTATGCTAATGAGGCTCCGGGCCGGCCCCGCCCCGCTCCCCTCCGTGGTCCGGGCGGCTGGAGGACCGGCTCCGGGCGGCGCGGGCGGCCCGGGCGGAGGTCCCAGAGGCCCGGCCCGGAAGGGAGCTCAACGCAGAACCTCTGCACCCTGCTCGGTGCGGCCTCGGTGCTCTGAGCCCGGCCAGAGGGGCACTGGGCCTTGCCGGCCACCGGAGACCGATTTCCCGCCAGTGGGCTGCAAGCCTGGCGCCTGCGCGGGAGGCGCGTGTGACCCCTGCCCGGGGTGTCCAGGGGTGCTGGGCTGGGGGTGACCCCTGCCCGGGGTGTCCAGGGGTGCTGGGCTGGGTGTGACCCCTGCCCGGGGGTGTCCAGGGGTGCTGGGCTGGGGGTGACCCCTGCCCGGGGGTGTCCAGGGGTGCTGGGCTGCGGGTGCCGGAAGCCCCAGGCCAGGTGGGTGTTGGGGACCGTGCCCTCGAGGGCAGCGCAGACGGACGTGCCGCTCTGAGCCGGGAGGCGGTGAGCTCTGGCGGCCCAGCCGCGGAGAGGCCGGAGCCCGCCTGGAGGAGCAGCCTCTGCCGCGAGGGGATCCATGGGCTGAGCATCTCCCAGCGCTGGGACGGCACCGTGGTGGTGCTGGGGACCCGGCTCCGACGTGTCCCCCTCAGACACTGGGGCGCTTTGGGAAAGAAGTGTTGGGAGCGGACAGAGGGGTCCCCCAAGTGGCCTTGACGCCGGCCTGCCAGTGACCCAGGTCGGTAACTTCCTTTCTCGGGGCCTCGGCCGCCTCCTGGCGAGCCGGATGCCCGTGGAGCTGAGACTCCAGGCTGACAGACAGGAGGGGCCGGGCATCGGGCCCGGGGAGGCAGCCTGGCAGGTGTCTTCCTGGGGGTGGGGGTGCGGCTCTGGGCGGGATGCTGGGTGGAAGGGTGCAGGGTCTGCTCCCAAGAGGCTCTCAGCCGGGACCCTGGGCAGGGGGTGCCTGTGGCGTGCCTGCTGCCCCTGCAGTAAGAGGCGCTCCCGGTCCCGGGCTCACTGCTCCCGGGGCCTCCGCAGGCACTGGGCTGGCCGGGAGGGGGCGCCGGTGGGCATGGCCTGCAGAGGAGATGGAGAGGGAGGGAAGAGGGCAGGAGGGGAGTGCGGAGCTGGAAGGAGGGGCGGGCTGGGCCGCGTCTCTGGAAATGATGTCTCCTGGTCCCACATTTTGCCCGTGGCGTGTCAGGACGCCTCTAGATTCACTCCATCACCCCCTGTGGGCTGCACTGCCTGTCCCTCCAGCAGGGAGGGCGGGGGCCCCCGGGGCCTGTCCAGGGGTGGGTGCTGCTGGCCAGCGGGAAGCTGTGTGTTTGGACCGGCTGAAGCCCTGCTGTGGCAGCGAGCGCCCCGGTGCGGGCGGGCGGGGCCTCCCAGGGCAGAGCGGGAAGGTCCTGAGCAGGGAGGCTGGGGCAGGGATCCAGGCCTCCGGCTGTCCCCCCTCCTGCCTCACCCTCCCAGCTCCTCCCTTCCTTCCCTCTTCCCTCCCCTCCTCCCTCCCAGCTTCTCCCTTCCTCCCTCCCAGCTCCTTCCTTCCTCCCCTCCTCCCTCCCAGCTCCTCCCTTGCCTTCTTCCCAGCTTCTCCCTTCCTCCCTCCTCCCTCTCAGCTTCTCCCTTCCTCCCCTGCTCCCTCCCAGCTTCTCCCTCCCCTGCTCCCTCCCAGCTTCTCCCTTCCTCCCCTCCTCCCTCCCAGCTTCTCCCTTCCTCCTCCCTCTCAGCTTCTCCCTTCCTCCCCTGCTCCCTCCCAGCACCCAGCCCTTGGTCCTGTGACCCCAGGGTCCCACCCGCAGTTGCACTCACTAGTGCCCTCCCCTCCCCGTGGGGCGGCGGCTGCGGAGGAACAGGAACGGGAGGACAGCGAGGACAGGGAGCCAGATTTTATTGGAAATCCGAGAACAGCAGTTCAGATTCTGAGTACAGAGCCAGGCCCGGAGCACCCCCGCCCAGGATCCTGTGAGGATCAGAGTGGGGACCCGCCCGCACCGCTGGGAGCGGCGGCCGGTCCCTCCGCCCCTCGGGGCTGACACGCTTCCTATGAGGACGCACTAGGTTCCGCCTTCACGGAAGGCAACGCCCCGCCAGGCCGGCCGGCGGGCAGCGGAGACGGTCTCCGCGAGCGGGGGTCCCGCTGGGACGTCACACCCCCCCCTTCCCGGAGTCACTGCCGCGACGCAAACAGCCCGCGGGCCGGCCGGCGCAGGCGGCTGGGGGTGCGGGCTCGGGTCTCTGCGGCGCGTTCTCCGGAGGCCGGGCCGGGGCCGGGCGGCCCTGCCCCGCGCACCGCTGGCCCTCGGTCACCAGGGCCGCCAGAGGCCGCGGGGCGGCTGGTGCTGGGGCGCCGCGGGGCCGGCCTTGGCCGCGGGGTGAGGGGTGGGGGGCGCGGGCGGCGGGCGCTGAAAGTGGCAGAGCAGCTTCATCTGCGCGTCGCCGGCCGCGTGCAGCGCCAGGAACTGCACGGCCTCCTGCAGGCACCACGCGTAGCCCTCGCGGAAGTCCTGCCGCCGGCTCTGCGGGCCCGCGGCGGCGAAGGCTGCGGGGAGGCGGCCGTGAGCGGGGCGGGCAGCGGGGGCGCGGGCGGGGCGGGGGGCGCGGAGCGGGGCGGGCAGGAGGGCGCAGAGCGGGGCGCAGGGGGCGCGGGGCGGGGCGGGCAGGGGGGCGCAGAGCGGGGCGCAGCGGGGCGGGCAGGGGGCGCGGGGCGGGGCGCAGGTGGAAGCGGGGCGCGGGCTCACCTTTGCTGTGCTTCAGGTAGCTGACGGCCATCTCCAGGATGTCTGCCTTCTCCAGCTTGGAGTTGGGCTGGTGCCGCGCGAACTCCTGCTCCAGCAGCAGCTTGAGCTGCTCGATGCTGCTGTTGATGCGGTCACGGCGCATCTTCTCCACCACGGGCTTCCGCAGCTGCGGCGGGGAGGCGTCAGGCGCGGGCCGCGGGGCGGGGGGAGAAGGTGTCAGGGAGCGGGGAGGGGAACGCGGGGCGCGGGGCCTAGGAGGGTGCACGGGGCTCGGGGCTGGGGAGGGGAGCGCGGGGCCGAGGAGGGCGCGCGGGGCCGGGGAGGGCGCGCGGGGCTCGGGGCCCGGGAGGGGAGCGCGGGGCGCGGAGAGGGGAGCGCGGGGCGCGGAGAGGGGAGCGCGGGGCGCGGAGAGGGGAGCGCGGGGCGCGGAGGGGGAGCGCGGGGCGCGGGGAGGGGAGCGCGGGGCGCGGAGAGCGAGCGCGGGGCGCGGAGAGGGAGCGCGGGACCGGGGAGGGGGGCGCGGGGCGGGCGCGCACTTACTCGGTTCTTCTCTTTGGGGCTCAGCAGCTCCAGGGCGGCGGCGCCGGGGGCCATGCTGGCGGAGAGCGGGAGCGGGCACCGGAGCCGGAGCGGCGGGAGCAGAGCTGGCAGCGGGCGGAGCGGCTTTATAGGCGGCGGGGCGGGCTGGCCCTGGGGCCCGGGCGCCGCGGCGGTTCCCACGCTCGCGGCCAATGGCGGCCGCACACAGCAGCATGTGAATGGCGGGCACAAAGCCGCGGGAGCAGGTGGGCCGCACAATGTCCGGCTGTGGGAACGCGCCCTCATTAGCATCCGGCCTGACGCCGGCCCGCGCCTCAGTGTGCCGCCGTTTCCCAGGCGGGGGAGGGGGACACGACCTCCTCTCCCTCCTCTCCCCTGCCCTCCCCTTCCTCCCGTCCCCTGCTGGCGGGCAGATCAGGGACCAGTGCACCGGCTTCCTGGCTGCGGGCACCTCCCCACAGGGACCTGCTGCCCCGGGGAGGGCGGCCACCCCATGCACAGGTGGACCAGGGGCCTCTGTGGTGGGTCCCGGGGTGTCACCTGGGACACAGGACTTCTCCCGAGGGAAACTCGGGCTGCCCTGCCTCCACGATGGCTTCAGGGAGTGTCCAGGAGCCAGAGAGGGTGCCGGGCCCAGCACAGAGCCCCCCCAGCCAGTGCCCCCAGGAGCAGCATGTCAGGCCGGGCATCTCGGGTGCTGTGAACCCACAGGTGCCCCCCATGTGGCCAGAGTCCACCCGGGCTCTCACTGCCCAGGCCGCACAGCCTGGGGGCACGGCCAGGCTGGTTCTGCCTGGACGTTCTGAAGGGGGTGCCAGGTGGCAGGCATGAGGGCGGAGCAGGGCAGCCCGGAGTCCCCTCAAAAGTGGTACCAGCTCAGACAGGCCCTCAGGACCCACAGGGAAAACCCATCATCCTGGTACCGGCCTGCTGGGAGCGCCCTCTGCCCAGAACACCACCCTCCTGGCTCTCCACAGGGGACTGGGTGGGGCCCAGCCGGGCGGGGGTGCGGGGGGGGGGGGTGAGGGGAGACAGGGCCTCCGCTCGCTCGGACAGCCATGGCTGGCATCAGGCACGTCAGCCCCGTTTTAAATCTGGGCACAGCCGCCCTGGTGTGGCTGGAACTCCAGAGCCCTCCCAGGGGCCGTCAGACCCACCCGCAGGGGTCCTGGCAGCCTTGAGGGGCCTATGGGGACCCCAGAGGACCCACTGGGGAGCAGGACGGTGTCGGGGCTGTGGAGCTGGCACTGGGTGGCCCACGGCAGCTGTCACCTTGGATGAGGTGGGCCAGGGGTTCCAAGGGTGAACCCTCAGGAGGAGAGGCAGCCCTGCCCACATCCCCCTCTGGTACTTGGTCCCCCCCCCCCACGCCCCTGCCTACACCTCCCTCATGCTGTGGGGAGGCGGGCGACACTGAGGGCGGAGGGCCGCGCTGTGAGCAGACGGGACCCCACCCCAGAGACCGGCTCGTTTGGTGCCAACGGCAGAGGCTCCAGGGTGATGGGCAGCCAGGCCACACGCCCACCCCTGCGCACAGCCCGGGCACGGGCAGGGGCTGGCACCGTGGTGGGGGCTGGCGGGTGCTGCAGGCTCTGCGGGTGCCAGAGTGAGGCTGCGCCGGTGTGCCCCTGGGGTGGGGCCCTCATGCCCACAGCCTGCGGGGGCAGCCCCCGGGGCCTCGCCAAGGCGGAGGGTGCGGGCGCAGGGCCCTGGCACAGCCTGCACAGGCCGAGCCTCCTGTGGCCTGGGTGCCGGCGGGAGGGCTGCACCCAGCGTGGAGGGCCGTGGCTGGGCTGTGTCCTGCCCGGCCCCTCCTCCCAGCCGGCCCCCAGCCCCAATGAGACACACGTGCCCGGAGTCACGGTCCAGCCCCTGGCTGCCCAGTGCGCGCCCACCCGCGGCGGAGGGTGGCTGGCCCGCGGCCAGGGGGCCGTGGGGGCCCCGCCCGCCCCCTCCGGGCCAACCACTTTGATCCGCTCTCGGCGGTGGGAACGCCGGTGAATGGGCCGAGCCTGCGGGATGAAAGCCCCCTCCCGGCGGAGGCCAGATGGCAGCGCGGCCCCAGGCACACGCCGGCTTTGTGGGCCGTTTAGGCCGTGAATGGGCCGGAGTGTGGGAAAGCCCGGGGCTCCCCGCTCACGCCGCCAAGGTGAGCCCGCCCGGCGGGGGCCGGGGGGAGGGCGAGGGCTGAGGCTGAGGCTGAGGCTGGCGGGCTTTGCACCAGGAATGGGGGGGGGGGTGTAGATTCTCTGCCTGCCCCCCTCCAGCAGCCGGAGAGGGGTCCTTCCTCCAGCGGGGGGTCTGTCCTGCCTGCGCCCCCGGCTCTCAGCAGGCCGGGCGGGGTGGGGTTCCGGAGTTACTGCCCCCCAGAAACAGCCCCTGTGGACCCTGAGCCGGGTCACTGCCCCAGAGGCCAGGGACCAGGACCCCCCATGGCTCTCCCCGCGATGGCAAAGCGCAGGGCTCCCAGGGGCGGCCTGTGTCCGTGTGCCCGAACCGGTGTGGCTCAGTGGATAGAGCGTCGGCCTGCGGACTGAAAGGTCCCGGGTTCGATTCCGGTCGAGGGCATGGACCTTGGTTGCGGGCACATCCCCAGTGAGGGTTGTGCAGGAGGCAGCTGGTCGATGTTTCTCTCATCATCGATGTTTCTAGCTCTCTATCCCTCTCCCTCTCTCTCTGTAAAAAAAACAATAAAATATATTTTTTTACAAAAAGTTAAACGTGGAGCCGCGGGGCTCAGGTTGAGCGTCTGCCTGTGAGCCAGGAGGTGAGGGCACAGGCCCAGCTGCGGGCTCCATCCTTTCCTCTCCGACATCAACAAAAACATACAAACAATTTAAACACAGAGTGATGGGGGGGCTGCAGTGTTTGGCGCCATGGGCATGGGCCTGGCCCTGACCCCCCAATGCAATGCTGTCCCCCAGGCCTCAGTGACTCCCGGGCGGGGGCGCCAGCCATCCCCCCACCAGCCAGGCCCTGTGAGGGCAGGGAGAGCGGCCGGTGAGCGGGACCAGACACGGCAGCGGGAGAGGGACCGGCCAACCCAATGCCTCCCGCCCGGACCCCGCGGCATCAGAGGGAGGCCTGCTGCCTGGGGGGCTGGCCGTGGGCGCCGGGTCTGCCTGGGGTTAGGGGTGGGTCTCTCCCTGGGGACCCTGCAGCAGCTGTGGGGTGAGAGTCCGGGGTGCCCGCAGTCTGACCACTTAGCCAGCTCTGCGAGGCAGGGTCCCTGCGCCCACCGACCGCAGGAGCGGGTCACTGAGGCTGGGCAGCCCGGCCTGGCCATGTGCCCTGGCCAGTGGGTGCCAGGTAGATGCCAGCAGCCATGGTTTGGAGCGGGCACAGCATGGGTCAGGGCAGAGCCGGGAGGGGCAGGCACGGGCCTCCTACCCCTGGCGCTGGGTGCAGTGAGGCTGCTGAGGCCACAGCGAGGACTCGAACCCAAACCCGAACGCACGGAGGCTGCCTTTCTCCTTCCCGAGCAGCAGAGGGAGGCGGGGTGTGTGTGTGTGTGGGTCTGGGTGCTCACTGAGTGGGTGCATGGAGGGCTGGGTTCCCAGGAGAGCTGGGCACCTGGGGACACTGACTGCCTCTCCCGGCAGGCTCGAACCCGGGCAGCACACGGAGCGGGCACAGCAAGGGCCAGGCCCAGGTGCAGACGGAGAGGGGGGCGGGGAGGGGGGGCAGGAGGCCACACAGGGCAGAGGCACAGCACAGCGGCTCCCCAGGGCCCGCCAGGCCGCCGCCTCTGGCTGAGCCGCTGAGCAGAGAGGGAAACCTGCTCAGCCCCACGCCGTGGAGGGCTGGGGGGCTGGACACCACGGAGAGTCAGGAGGAAGCCCCCAGCCCAGCCTCAGCCTCAGCTCCCTGCACCCTGACCAGACCGGGCTCTGGTGCCCCCTGCCCCGTGGGTCCTGTCCCGGCAGCAGGCACCTGGCTGCGCGGCCGAGGCTGGGCCCTGCCTGGGGCCTCGACGAGGGGGCTGGGGACCCTGCGTGTGGAGACCATGGGGTGGGGCACCCACCGGAGCTGGAGGGGAGGGGCCAGGTGCCCACAGTCCCGGGACCTGGGTCCGGCAGTTTCTCCCGGCGGCTCTCCAAGGGGCCCGGGTGCTGAGGGGGCACTGCCCGCAGCCTGTGCACCGCCTCCAGCAGGAGCGGCTAGCCGGTCACCCGCTGGGCAGGCAGCGCAGAGCCCAGAGGGACGGGCTTGCGGGGTGGAAAGGGCCCCGTGTGGACTATGGTGGGGCCGCTGGGACCGAGGGGACTATGGTGGGGCCGCTGGGACCGTGGGGACTGTGGTGGGGCCGCTGGGACCGTGGGGACCGCGGTGGGGCTGCTGGGACCGTGGGGACCGCGGTGGGGCTGCTGGGACCGAGGGGGACTATGGGGGGGCCGCTGGGACCGAGGGGACTATGGGGGGGCCGCTGGGACCGAGGGGACCGCGGTGGGGCCGCTGGGACCGAGGGGACTATGGGGGGGCCGCTGGGACCGAGGGGACTATGGGGGGGCCGCTGGGGACCGCTGGGTGAGCCGCAGAAATGGGACACTTGGGGTGCGGACCTGTGACTCGGGGGCCTGGCCCCCGAATGGCGGCCCAGCTCTGCACCCCAGCCCCACTCCTCCTCACAGGACCGGGCTGGGCCCCCTGGCGGGCTGTGGGTGCAGCAGGGCACCCCCCACCGGGTGCTCCTGCCTCCATGGCGGGTGCCCCCCCCCCCCCCCGGCCGCCACAGCCCTTGGAGCCCGGGCCAGGCTGGGGCGCTGGGGCCGGGCGGGCGAGGGCCGGGGGCCGGAGGGCGCCGAGGGGGCGGTGGGAACTCGGTGGCCCGCAGGCCCCACACCCCGACCCCCCCAGGCCTCACCGCCCACGTGGCCGCCCCCCCCCGCCCTCCCCTCTCCCCCCCCTCAGGAGCCGGCTAACCCTGAGTCAGGGAGCAGCGCGTTCCCACCGCCCCCCCAGCCCGGGCAGATGGCCTTTGGGCGGCGCCCGCCCCCGCCCCCTGCGGCCGCCCTCCATTCAGAGGCACAGGCGGCACTAATGCCCCAGGCACGCTCCGCCCGCCAGCGTGGGAACGGCCCCCAGAGCCACAGCCCCCGCCCCCGCCCCCCCAGAGCCACAGCCCCCGCCCCCGCCCCCCCAGAGCCACAGCCCCCCGCCCCCTGAGAGCCACAGCCCCCCGCCCCCCCAGAGCCACAGCCCCCGCCCCCGCCCCCCCAGAGCCACAGCCCCCCGCCCCCCCAGAGCCACAGCCCCCCGCCCCCCCAGAGCCACAGCCCCCCGCCCCCCAAGAGCCACAGCCCCCCTGCCCCCAGAGCCACAGCCCCCCGCCCCCAGAGCCACAGCCCCCCCAGAGCCACAGCCCCCCGCCCCCGCCCCCCCAGAGCCACAGCC